TTTCTTTTTCTTTACTTCTTCTTCTTACTTACCTACTACTTCTTCTTACTACTAAGTAGGAAGTAAAGTTAAAGTAACTACCTAACCTAAGAAACAAACCTACTCTCTCTCTCTCTCTCTCTCTCTCTCTCTCTCTCCTCATATTTTATAGAGGAAAGTTTCAGTTGGTTTTAGTTTCACACCCACATGCCTCTCTTGTGGGCTCTCCTTCCTACGTTAGTCAAAATGTCGTGAAAGGAAGATAGAGAGAAATATTATGAGGTTTGTCCCACTTCCTCCGTTGATATTATATATATATATATAACTTTTTTTTTTTTTTTCTTTTTAGAGAGAGAATGGAATGGAGGGTGTCTCTCTTTCTTGCATGTGACAGTGTAGAGAGAGATAGGGTCAGATTGTTCCCCCATTTTTAGGATATCAAAGGAAGAGAGAGTACAGAATGATGGGCACACCTGATTCTTAGGAAGATAAGAAAGAACGTGGGCTGTAGAGAGAGAGAGATTTGAAAGTGGAGCGGTGGTTTGCCCCTTCTTACGGAACATGGGGCATGTACCCCTCTTTCTCATCTTTCCTTCAATTTTCTTTTTCTTTTTTTTTCTTTTTTAATTGGAACTTTTTATCTCTTCCCTTTTTTGACAAAATCCATGAGAAAAATGATGCAAACATGTATACACTAATGGCCAAGGACTCCATATCAGCTTCAGACAGTAAATAATTCACAAGTGAGAAAATTCTCTTTAAGTCTATGGAAAGAGACCTGATCAATTCTTGTCACAATTGAATCAGAAATATCACTTGTCCAAGTAGAACATAAACTTCTATAGGTAAATCAACAAGTGCAATATCCATGATATAAAGTGACAATTTTTTATTCATAATTTGCATCCTAACATCCCAATTTTCCTCATAGGTAAATCTAGTTGCGTACAATCCCACTAAAAACACCACAAAACACACCACATGCTCCTTATGAAATTCAGCTCCTCTTGAAGTTCTTCTCTATCATTGGCCCACAACACCCTAAAACACCTATAAACGCCGTCAATGCCCCCCCCCCCCCCATCCCCACATTTAACCAATTAAGAGTAACTCACATCAAAACCAGTTTCTCAACTAGAACATTGTTGAATGTGACCTTGTTTTGCACCCCTTTTTAACACCCTAAAAAAATCCCATTGTTGAATGTGCGAGTCCGGCAAATGCTTGTCTTTCTTCAAATATGGAATCAACTGGAACATTGTTGATGTGTGAGACAGGCATATGCTTCATCTTTAACTAGAACATTGTTGAATGTGTGAACCAGGCATATACTTGCACATATTTGCACATGTTGCACATGCTAGAACTTCACACAATTGTAACGTATATTTAAGTTACAACAGTAGCGTATATTTAAGTCATTTTTCCCCATGTAGCTTATATTTAAGTAGGAGTTAATTACTCATCAAAGAGGATTATTTAATTTATTGTTCTCAGACAACTGCCATGTATTCGTCTTGATGCCCTAGTGTGACCTACACAAAAAAGAACTGGTGTTTGCATTACGCCAGCAAATTCCGCATAGACATACGCGGTCACATCATGCACATGGAACTGAAGATACAATGTAGCAACAGTGTATTTGAAACTACCATGTGGTGCCAGCTGGTGAGCACACCCAGACATTTTACCTGAAGAAGGTGGATGATGATTTTAAAACCTTTTTTTATCATAAAAATGGTGAAAACTTACTATTACATTTGTAAAAAAATAAGAAAAAAAAAATGATAAAAAAATTTACACATGCTCAGTACTTTTTTGAAAGATCAAACCCTCCATTAACGATCAAGTAGACATACACACACTGCACACTAATACTAATCTCGTGCTTGAATAAATGATTATTAGGTGTTAGGAGTTTTTTATTCAGTATTTTTAGTGTAAGCAGTTTTCACTCCATGGTATCGAACTTTCTTCATAATTTCCAACTTTTTTCAAGGTTTGCCACAAAATGCATTCTCAGCTACAACCACTCATAACTATGACTGATAGGCAATCATATAATTTTGTTGGCAAAGAAGAACCATTGCATTAAATCAGGAATTCCACAAGTCACAACAATCACACCATACATGTTACAAATCTAAAAAGACACTTCAGGGGCACAGTTTATATATAGACACATACGCATGCATGCACATACACACAGACACACGCACGCGCACACACACGCACTCACACAGAGAGACACACACGCATGCACGCACACACCCAGAGACACACACACATGCACACACGCACGCGCACACACACGTATATTATATATATATAAATATATAATAATATGTCTATTATTATATATTATATATGGTGCAACTTTTGGATTCTTATGGCCATCACACAATAAATAATGAGAGAAACATCCAACATAGTGTTCGCATGCGCGTGAGAGAGAGACAGAGAGAGAACCTTACAATCTGAGTATTGCCTTTGGTCATCACTCCTAGAACTTCATGGCATGTTGTATTTGTCTTTCTTGAAACAGCAGCCACTTTAGTTCCAACCTAAAAAAGTGTAAAGGAACGAAATTCAAGGAGTCAATACTTGCCAAACATGCAAGTTGTAAGTTCTTATTCACACTAGAACACAAAAATACAACACATTGAAACTTACGCTCACAATGTAGCTTAAATTCAAACCTCAAAGGGCAACTCTTAATTCCATTGTTTATCCCACTAACTGCTAAATGAAAATTTAAGGGAAAAAGGTCTACTGTCATGACAATAGAGGCAAAATGGAAAATATTTCACAGCCAACAGACAAACAACTGCGCATTCATATATATAAATCCTCTTGATATGATCACAAAACCAATCATATAAAATGAATCCCCCAAGAATATTCTAGGATTTCCTTCAAGTAAATCCATGAAATATGCAACAAACCAAAATGAACATAAAAATTCAATGAATACAACTTTTATTGTCACAGGGATTCTAAGATATACAGTATCTTCCCCCAGTCTATTTCTGATATTGTCATTTTATTAAAGTTACTTTTCTTGGCATTGCCCATGTTGATCCTATTGAGCTGAGCGTACTACATCCACTCCAATGCCTCTGGTAAAAGCCAGGAATATTTTATGCCTCCTCCATACAAAGATGTGAATGCCGTGTGGAATACTAAATTGCCATCTGAGAGAAGAGCATCTGTGGCTGTTGAGTGAGCACTCGAAAGAGATGACGATTGTACAAAAACAATTAGAGTGGGTTTGAAAAGGCTTGCTACTGGTGAACAGGAGGAAAAGGCAAGCCACTAGAATTGGTTTCCTACAGAATGAAGTCCAAGGATCCATGGACAGGCCAAAGTCGCCCCGCTGCACTAGAATGGCATCTCTTTGATAAGCCAATCTGACTTCTAAGTATTCATAATGCACTAGATGGACACGTCTTCCACCCTTCATGTTAACAAAAGCTGGGGATAAGTGTTTAGGTATTACAATGATGAGTACCCACCATCTGGAGGTAGGTTGTAATAGAAGCATATATGAGAGTAATACCAACTGCAGGCCTTTTTGATGTAAACGTCTTTGTTTGTCCGTACCCATGGATTCACTTACATATATTTTATTTTATGGAAAATTTAGAGTCCCTTTAAAGAAAGAGAAAAACCTGAGAAGTAGTTTTTTTTTCCCCTTTTTTGAAAATTGACCAATGAAACCGTCTACAGCCAGTCCATTGAGTTCCTAATAGATTAGTCACAAGAAAACATCTGACTAAGTAGAACATGAATAAACGTAGCTGAATTTAGAAAGGGAAAAATACAAGGCATAGTTCCGAACTTGTGAGCACTCTTTTCATTTAGTGTAAAAAAAACCCACCTATTATAAGTACAAATTGCTTGGAATGAACAAGATATCGCATATTATATTGAAATTGCGCACTATAATTTGATTGTTTAGAGCCTCGGCTCTATAAAAACTTTTCCCTTGTTCATTTCTACTTTAGAATTGGTCTCCATGATTGAAATGAAATGACACTTATTTATTTTTTGTAACTTACATAAATTAGGCCTTTAAGTCTTTTGTATTCAATATTTATCAAAAAAGTCTTTTGTATTTAAATGAAATGTGTTCAGAAGTTCAGAAGCAAGACAAACAAGGTAGAAATTACAAAGATAAACAAAAGCAGAGGATTGAAATTCAACTGAGAAAGTACCCAATATCACACAATTTCATCAAAGGAATGAACAGAAGAATAACTAACCAAGAAATTGGTGAGTGCTGACTTTCCAGAATTAGGAGCGCCAATGATACCCACACTTAGCGATCGCTGGTCCTCCAACTTCACAACCCCATATCCCATTTCCTCTTCCTCTTCATCATCGGGCCTCGCCAATGCCGCTTGCAAAAGAGCCTTAGCAAGACTCGAAGCCCTTATATCCTCCTCCGTTTCTCTCTCTTCTTCCTCTTCTACAACCCCCACTTCTCTTTCTTCTCCTTCAACTTCTGATTCTTCTCTCTCTTCTTCCACATCAACTTGTGCTGCCTCCAAGTGTAAGGCGTCTTTCTTTCTCTTCTGAGAACGTTGAGCCCCAAAAATGGCTTTGTCGACCCTTTCACGATAAGCCTGGTTCCATCTAGGTTGAGAAGAGGTGGTGCTTGCAATGTTGTGGAGGTCCTTGTAATCTTCACTGTCGAAGGTATCATTGGTGGTGGCCATGGAGGCGGAATTGTGTTCGGGCTGAGCTCCATAGCTTCGCAAAAGAAGAGGAAGAGGGGGTGGAGATGGAAGAGAGAGGCGACGAAGTAAGCGAAAGATTGCTCTTCTTGATAGCATTTTAGGGCATAAAAAATGCGGCGGAGACGGGGGTTGGCAATGGTTTCACAGTAGGAGGGGCGGATAAACAGCTTAGGGCAACTTTCTCGCACTAGGAATCAGTACAGTAGTAGTTAATGGAGAGCGTGGGTTTAGAGAGAGAGACATAAACCCTCTCAAGAGCGATTAAACCCCCTCCGGGGCACCCCACTTGTTAAAAGATTTAAATTTGCAGGTTTAGTAGGAGCACTAATGATCATAGATGATTATTTCTTAAGGAAAAAAAGTTTATATAAGGTCTCAACGCACCTCAAAAATCTACCAGAAACTATCATTTTAATGCTGAAAAGCCTCTAATTGATGATCTTCACATGCATGAATATGAAAAAAAAAATTTCAGAATTCTAAGCGAGAAATACATTATCTTGACCGTTTATTTTCAAAAAATTTATATGTTTATAGATATGTTTAATTTTAATCATTTTTAGAGTTTAAAATTCATAATTAGTTATGAAAATAGATTTTTAAATAATCTTTATAATTTTTTACAACAAAATTACATGTTTTAATAAAATTTGGAGGTGCGCCTTGGATTGTTTAAGGTTGCAACCTTATAGAAACTACACCCTTTTCTTAATGATGTTTTAATACTTAGATCTTACCCTGGCGGTTTGTTCAATACATTATTTTTTCCAAGTTCATTGCAATTTGGAATTATGTTTTATTGAATTTAGTCCATGTTTTGAAGGGTTACATCCCAAAATTTAAGGTTCTAAAATTATTCCTAAATTATAGTTTACTCGAGGAAGTTAGTAGGCTGCCTTGGGAGTATGAACACACCTATCTAAACAAGTGAAATATTCCCCTTTGGGTAATTATAATCTCCATTAGAAAATGGAAAACTATCGAAGTCCGAAGTTGGGATGTCCAGAAAAAACATTAATAAATGGAGAAAGCGAGTATGTATAAAGATAATATCCGTAATTTATTGAGGAATTTTCTAATAAAAGTAGATAAAAAGGTTTTTACATACTCGTCTCTCTAAATTATAACATATCTTTGTCCTTTTAGATGTAATTTTTATAAGGCCTAGGCCTCGTGAAAAAAAAGTAAAGCCTCACCTTAAAATCTTATTTGAAAGAAGCATTGTGTATGGGAAATCCCAAAATGATTTTAAAATCTATTTCTAGCACTACTTATGAAATTTGTAGCTCAACAAATAGTACAAATCTTGTAGATCCATGAACACTTGAAATTAAGCAGTATAGGTAATGTGTTATAATATACAGTAATTTTAGAGCTTTAAATCCTAAAGTTTTTTCATAACCATGATGAGTAAGGTCGAAATGATAGATTTGAAAAGTTTGAGGTGAATCTTTATTTGTTTTCATAAAGACCTTTTGTGCGTTGTTGTTACGGTACGGATCTCAAGAACCTCTAGCTTGCGGAACCGAGAATCCCAAATACTGGGATCCAACCCAAGATTATTTACATGATTGGTTAAATGAGAAGTAGATGAATATAATTATAAATCAATTGCGAGAAATAGAACAAATATAAAAAACACATTACAACAACACACGATTTACGTGATTCACCCCGTAAGGCTACATCCACGGCCTCAGCAACTAGAATTCCACTATCACAATGAATATTATAGTTTTGAGTTACAAGAGATAGTATATATTTCTAAAAATCGGTAAAAGACCCTCACCGATCTTCCCTTCTAAACCCGCTCTCCAGACTGAGCAACACCCCCGATCAACATCTTCTTTCTTACCGCAATACCGCTACTGGAAAGATAATATCGAGAATAACATAGAGATTTTTTCTCTCTAGAAGTGAAGTTAACCAATCCAAAACTCATTGGAATATTGCCCATCTCTCAGAGGTCATCTCTCTCTCTTGAA